AACTGAACAAGAAACTAAAAGGCAAAGAAAATAATGGTGAGAAAGGCCATATGTCGCTTAACAAACAAACTAACAAATACACAAAGAGCTTTTCTTTAGAGAAAGCTAATGCTAGAAATTGCATGCCATACAGAAACAAACAATGAGTTCTTAAATTGCATGCTACAAGCTGTGGTAGCCATAGTAACACACTGCTCAAAGATTCAAGCGTCCATCAAACATAGATTCAAGCACAGAACTAGAGTTAAAAATTGTCAAAGAACCAATTACAGACAACAAAGGAAGAGGTGATATCTCAAGAAAAAGTCGACATCTCCTGCAATTTGGAAGGCTATCCAAGATGGAAGCGTGCTACAACAGTACCTAACACCAAGAAACTCATGGATTGAAGAACAAAATTAGAGTTGAAATTGTCAAAGAACCTTAACAGACAACAAAGAAAAAGGTGGTATCTCAGGAAAAAGTTGATATCTCTTGCTATTAGCGACGGCTTTCCAAGATGGAAATGTGCTACCAATAGTACCTAACGCCAAGACACTCAATGAAGACAGTAATAAAAGCAACTCCAGTTAACGTGATTTGAAATCTACTTGAGCCAATTAAGGTTAATGGTGTCGATAAGTATCATCCCAACTAAGAACAGAACTAAATCAGTCCAACAGATGCGTGGAAAATTGGAGAACAAAGAGATCATAGTTTAAAGGGTAAACATCAGCTAATATAAAAAAAAGAACACAAGCAATCATTTTTTTGTTCTGCTATGAACGCTTTTTGGGGGAACTACTTGCCAATCATGAAAGTACACTTAATATGCATTCCAGATGTTGCGTTCCAAGTTCTCAAGCAGTTCAAGGCAGCTTAAATCGCGAAACGAAGACGAAGAGGGAGAGAAGGACCGTGGTTCATGTCGTCGGAGACGAAGGCAATGTCGAGGAGGACGACGCCAGGGTCGATTGGGAGGTAGACACGTTCCCACTCAGAGAGGGCGGGCTCCTCGGACCTGGCGGGGGCGGGGGCTCCGGCAAGGGCGGCGAGCGCGAGGGGTGCGGCGGCGGTCTCGAAGATGAACTCGCGGCGAGTCGTGGGGGCGGGGCCGGAGGGGAGTGAGGCGATGGGGAGGAGACGCCGGCTGCTGTGGCGACCGGGGGTCTTTCTCGTGTAGGCGGCGAAAGGGGAGGCAGAGGAGGATGGGAGGAGAGATTGGTTGAGATGCGCGAGTTGGAGGGTCGCCATTATTGGGTGGAGGAGGAAAGCGAGGGAGTTGCTATCTCCTTCTCTCGCTCTCTCTCTTTCAGGTATTCGTCTTAAGCTTGTAAGAGATGGAAGCAGCGGGAGCGCATCCCCGCCTTCAGTTTCTGCTCGTGTGGTGGTGGGAGGAGCTACGCTGCTGTCGTCGAGGCTTCTCAATGCTTTGTGTGGATAAGACTCGCACGCTGTGGAAGACGTAACACAGCATGGCATCCAAATAAATAAATAAAATTGATATAAAAAAATCAAAATGGTATATATATATATATATATATATATATATATATCAAAATTAATTTGATTTCAACTTAAAATAGCTCAAAATTAATCTCGGAATTTTTTTAGTCACACAAACTCAGAATGCGGAAAACAAATGAAAAAGTAGAATGAAAAAAAAATTAAAGAAAAAAAGTGAAATGCATCAGAAAAACAAAAACCTTGTAGAGCTCAGACAGGCACTATTCATCTAAATTTAGATCAGTAAGCCGTGCAGGTACCCCAAGCACGAATGCTACTCCTCATCGCTCGACGGGTTAGCTCTGCCTCCTCTTTCTTGAGGTATAGTGTTATTTCGTACCGTAGCAGTATGGGACTAAATTTGATTTTAAAAAATCAAAATGGTTTATATATATATATATCAAAATTAATTTGTTTTCAACTTAAAATAGCTCAAAATTAATCTCGGAATATTTTTAGTCACACAAACTCAGAATGGGGAAAACAAATGAAAAAGTAGAATGAAAAAAAATTTAAAGAAAAAAAGTGAATTGCATCAGAAAAACAAAAACCTTTGAGAGCTCAGACAGGCACTAGTCATCTAAATTTAGATCAGTAAGTCGTGCAGGTACGCCAAGCACGAATGCCTCTCCTCATCGATCGATGGGTTAGTTCTGCCTCCTCTTTCTTGAGGTATAGTGTCATTTCGTACCGTAGCAGTATGGGACTAAATTTGATTTAAAAAAATCAAAATGGTTTATATATATATCAAAATTAATTTGATTTCAACTTAAAATAGCTCAAAATTAATCTCGGAATTTTTTTAGTCACACAATCTCAGAATGCGGAAAACAAATGAAAAAGTAGAATGAAAAAAAAATAAAGAAAAAAAAGTGAAATGCATCAGAAAAACAAAAAACTTGGAGAGCTCAGACAGGCACTATTCATCTAAATTTAGATCAGTTAGTCGTGCAGGTATCCCAAGCACGAATGCTTCTCCTCATCGCTCGACAGATTGGTTCAGCCTCCTCTTTCTTGAGGTATAGTGTCATTTCGTACCGCAGCAGTATGGGACTAAATAGGGACATGAAAACACACCCTACACGACTCCAACATGGATCAATTCGTTCGGAAGAAAAGTTCGAAGCGATAGCAGACCCGAGCGAGATTTGCATGCACGACTGTGTTGCATCAATCAATGCAGGTTTGGGTGCAAAATTAGCTGCTCTTGCATGATTTTGTTGCCTCCGATTGGTGTCTTCGACAGTGACTGACCAAAATCCAATGGATTTCTCATTCTCTTTTCCTTTGCTTTTGGGCAAATGAATGACAATTATATTTATCCCTCTAGTGATTAATTAAACCTTAATCAAGTTTGATAGATCTATCTTTATTAATAGATTAATAAACACTAACATTATCAGAGACTAAACAGCATGGCTGGTGTTCAGAAGATACAATGAAAACAGATAAATATAGAGGGCAAAAAAGAATCACCAAAGAGTCTTGTTAGCATGAGCGTTTGTGCTCAGATATGGAGATTAGAAACTATAAATAAATGTTTCTGGCTACTGTCTAAAGAACCTAACAATATCTAACACACATGCTGCCTTGTCAAAGATCCTAAGCCATGAGCAAGTAAACAAGGTGTGGTTAATAAATACATTAGCGTTTCTGATGCCCACAAAACTTCCATGGAGATTCTTCATTCTTCACATCGATATAGACAGCTGCAGAATTCCTATGGTTTTGGCTACTACTTCTAGATGGCGACATGAGACATTGCACAAGCTCTAACACCTGCTGGCTGACACATGTGAGAAAAACAATGACATGGTAAAATTAGTGATACAAATATCAATTGAAATCAGCTTCTAAATGAATACAGTTTCGTATAATAATTTTTTATATATGGAGCTTTTGAGCCCCCTGAATCTGTACAGAGGACCACAGACTTTATAAACCAGTATTTTTAGATCAGAGTCTGTGTAGTTGGAAAAGGATGCACTCAAATTGAGGAGGAAAGTAAAATATTGTCATTTTGAGAGAGAAACACATTAATGCATAATGTTCAAGTCATAGAACAAAAACTACAAGAGAGACACAAAAACAGAAGAAGATCAAAATCGAAAGCAATCTTAGGGAGAACAGTCAAATCACCATCAAAAAGAGGGCACAAGATGCATGGTCCAAAAGAAATGCAATAGGAGGAAACAACTATTCTCTATGCTATTGCTGTGGAGGATGCTTGCTTAATCACAAATCTTAATTCAAACGAAGTAATATCAATTCGGACATCATCAAAGACCATCAGAATTCAGAAAAGGTCTTGTTGCTTACAGAAATCTATTGGGTAGCTGGTTGAATTCTGCATAAAATAAATTCATAAGTCAATGATGCTCTTAATTAGTAAGAATAGATGGTGCTGAACACAAGCTAGTCTTGTATAAGTTATTGATCTATAACATAAACTGGAGACCAATAAAAAAACATGGAAATTACAGATTTGGTAGTCTCAGTACATTCCAGATATAAATTCCTTTTTTCCACTGCTCAGATATATTCCAGATATAATTAGTAAGAATAGATGTCTAGACACAGTCAGCTTTCTTTCTTGTCAACTTGGTTTTAATAGTTCACATCATAGTTTTAAATCTCGTCACCCGTCCCATACAGGTACCTGCCTGTGATTTGTTAAGCAAAACATAGGTAATTAAAATAAATTAGTTGTGTTTCCTTTTTTCTCCTGCCTTGTTTTCCCACTGCTCCCCTTTTTTTTTCTTGTCACTCCTCATCTTATAAAAATATAGATGAGACATGAACATGCAACAAAGATATACAAAAAATCCCAACAACTATCAAAATTATACTGTTACCACACTTTACGACTAAAAAATATGGAGTTTGATTACATACCATGAGCATTTAAGAAATATTTATCCCCCAGAGCGCATACAAAACAACTTCACAGTCTCAACTCCAAATAAAAGAAGCAATGCACAGGTATAAAGATGAATAAAACTGAACAATCATCAGTTTGATAGTTTCAACAAACAATAAGCTTCAACTTTTTCTTCCAAATGTCATAACAAAAAGTTAGTTAGATACACAAACACTTGAGAAAAAATAAAGCTTAATGTTCATTCATTTTGACCATTACAAATGGAATGCAAGGCACAAGTTATGTTTATCAAAATGCCAGTGCTGGAGCTATCAAAAGCCCAGTGAGAAGTTACCGAACTGTACAAATTTCTCATATAACTTATACCTCAGCATTTGAAGTGGCTTATCTGGCACAAAATCTCTAAGAACTTTTTCAGCGTCCCCAAAAGGAATCCAAGATATAAGTACGTATCCATATAAACCACCATTTATCTAGTGAATCACCTGCGACAGTTATAGATTAGTTCAAATTGGTAGAACTTAGAAGAAAAAAAAATTCTGGAAACAAAAAAGTTCTAACTAAATGTGAGCCTACCAAGAGTCTGTAGTTGTAATGCAAGATAATATCCAACAATAAACAGTCAACAGAAAAAAAAAAAAAAAAAATCATTGCGAAGCTAGAATCATAGTTAATTAATACATAATGATGCTTACTAAATTTCCAAAAACACCAGTATCACCTCAAAGCTAGGACTTCCAGTAATTATTTGAATCCCTTGACTATCATAAAAAACCACAAAGTAGGGACCTATCTTGCTCACAGTAATGTCTTATTTCAAAATTGTTAACTACCTAGCTAATTCTGATGCAATTCAGGCTGACATGGTGGGTCAAAGGAGTCATTTAGTTTTTCCTCCATATTTGTGCATGTTGGGAAGAAGCATAAAGTAAGTATCACACCTAAAGAACTATAGGACAGAGTGGTTGATAAGAATCAAAGGTTAAAAAACAACAAAATTACAAAGAAGGAAGAGAGGAAAAAAGGCAACCGCGATCCTGTTACACGCTGGCAACAACCAGGCTTCTATATACCACAAAATGATAACCAAGACTAATTAAATCTAATTTGATGTAACACATGCCTCATAAACCTCCCATATTCTGAATCATAATCATACCTATTTGATTTGTTCAACTGACTCCTAAAGCTACAATTATCTGAACCACAACTATTAACTTACACATAAATATATTTCCCCAGACTATTCAAAATCAAAGGAGATCGGATTGATTATCTTATCCAAACAAAAATAGCCATTGATAGCCATTAGTAAGTAATCACATAATGAACTCTCTAAAATTAAAAAAAAAATCTAAAAGTCCATAAAACTAGAAAAGAATATTTCACACGTTTAGACACATTGACTTAACCCTACCACCTATTGCTGGCTCGATTTGGACTTGATCCCAAATAATCTTGGAAAAAACAGTCTTGATTAATTACATCAACTTTTTTATACAGCCATTTCACGCTAACGGCTCAATATTACAAGATAAAATTGAATAAGAAACATTTTTATTTGTAAGCTGAGCTCTTATGGTTACTCTCAAACTTTAAGCTCTCACGAACCTAATGATTCCTCCCTTGGATACTGTTGTAAAGCAGAATCATATTAGTTATGGAATAGACTCAAGGGGGTGAAAATTTTCCTCCCTGATTTGTAATGTGATCTTCACTTAAGAATGCCACGTCACAAATTTTCTTGCCATCACACATAATCATATTTACTAAGTTCATCAATCTTCAGACATCCAATAAGCAAATAACATACACTAAAATTCTTTAAAATGAATTTAAACAATTAGTCATCAGGCTAGTTTGTCATTCATCAACATGAGAACTTCACTCAGACTAATTAAAGTTAGTTTATCCATACCCAATTACTTTAACCCAAGGTCTCTAAGTACCGGTTAGATTATTAATGCATGGTCCAGTATTTACTAGTCTCACCAAAAAGTATACTTCGAACCGGTGCATATACGATTTATTTTTAGTTTTTATTATCTTATCCAGTATATACAATTGGGAGGCACAGAACAGTATACAGTCTGGTGTAGCAGTTCGTAACCAATTCAATAGGTTATCAGAAACTGGTATGAACCGAAGTTTGAAACCTCTGTTCAATCATAAGTGATCCCGCTACAAGCTTGAAGACTTAGATCTATGATACCAAGGCTTTCTCAAAAAGCAGAATTTCCAAGTTTGTTACTTGTCTTTTAATTTTAACATTCCATATTCAGAGAATGATATCAAATATAATGGAATCAACCTCATTTCAACCATTTTTCACAAATTATGGAATTGGACATTACATATGATCAGAAAGATGTACGATGATTTTACAAAAAAATGTTACCAGTTGCCTATACAACATGGACTTACATTAACGAAGTCAGTATGTTCGATGCAGTTGCTAAGACAATTAGAATGTACATATTCCTGTCAAAAGACTAAACCAAGTATCACAACTCTGATTCTTTGATAGCATCTCACATTGACTGCAGCTCGGGTCTCAAATTCTCAGACGTCTTAGGATAAAACTGAAATAAATTCAAGAAAAAACAAGCAAAATCTATAATATGAGGATATTAGGTGAAAGATAAAGAAAAAAATCTGAAAATTACTCTGACAAAGTTAAGGATAGAAGCAAGATCAAATATTACCATATCTAAACATGTGCATACAGCTGACTTTAGCCTGGTCTCCAACAATTAAGACCAGGAACATCTGATCTGCCTGGCAGCACTTGGCGAAAACCATGGCCTGCAGGAATGAAAAGACCCCATTTAGTCTAGGTATGATGAATATCAAATTATCAATCTTGGGACTGTTGGAGCATCTTTCCTCCAAGTCAGCACAACCTGAGACTGAACCTCCAGAAGGCCTTGGATTATGCACAGGAAGCTGAAATCCCATAGGGTTCGACAAAGGTCTTTCCCTGGTAGACCTCATAAATCCTGCCCAACAAAAATTGATTGTTAAGAATCTCACCATCCTAGGTTCAGTTTCCTTTACAGGGTTCACAATACAGATAACCACATTCATTTATCTGCAACATATAACCACATACCATCCTGAACAATAGGGGCGCCTGAGCATGATGGTCTTGCTCCAGACACCCAAGCAGCATGCTGATTATCAGGGCTAAAATCACTAGAATGCACTTTCCTTTGTTCATCAGACATAAGTTGTCTTTGACCATTTGGAACAGATGTCAATGTGTACGGATTGTGAGATTGAAGCACTGGTTGTTGACTCATGGGAGTAACATGTGGAAAATGGCCAGTGGGCATTTGTGCGGTTGGAAGAGGATAAGTGGAGGGAGTTTGTGAAGGGGGATGAGAATTGTAAGGCCTCTGGTGGAAGGATGAATTGCCTTGTTGAAACTGGTGAATGTGATGAGAATTCTGAGGGGCTAAATACAACTCGTTATGTCCATATTCAAATTGCCTAGATGAAGTAAAGTTACTTAGACATTGTGTATTGCTCATTCTATTTGCCACAGAGCTTGGATGCTGCTGTAGAACCACTTCACTATTTAAAGCAGTTTCCTGGCCCTGAATTGCAGCATTACCAGCCATATCAACCAGTTTGTTGCCCTGCACACAGATGCCAAGAGTTAAACATAAAACACATTTAAGTCACTAGACAAGCTACTATAAGAAACCCATACATTTTGTGTCCTGAGCTCTTCCTGCACAGGGGCATAAAATAAAGACGGTGGAGAAGGTGACACTGTTGGTAGAATTGGAACAGAAGGAAGAGATGTTTGTCCAGATATTGGCAAGGGTGGTGGGGGTGGGGGTGGAGGTGGTGATGGTGATGATGGTGGAGGTGGGGGAGGCGGCGATGGGGGTGAGGGAGACAAGGGTGGAGGAGGTGGCGGTAGTGGTGGAGAATCCAAAGGAGGTGGAGGAGCAGTAGGTAAAGGGGGCAGTTCATCTGGATTAATCGATGTTGCTTCCAAAGTTATGCTAGATTCCTGATACTTTAATTCAACTTTTTGATAATCATTTCTCGTTATGCCCTTCTCATCTTTGGACAAAGGATCATCTTCCATTTCAAGTTCACCATCTACATCTTTTAGTACATGATGATGTCTGTCACTCGGCGTCAAAGAACAAGTGTCTAATTCTTCTAAAGTGCTGCCAACTCCAACTGGCATTTCATTGCCAGAATCTCTGCAAAGGGTGGTAGGGTGATCTTCCTCGTCTTCAAATACATTAGTAGACAACAATCCGGGCAACTGAAATGTTGTATTACTGAAAGAAAATAGAAACAAATGAAACACAAAGAGTAAGAGAATATCATGTCAAAGTAAAGAAAAAAAAGATATTATATAAGTGGTTGCAATGCTATGCAGTTCCCAGTCCATTAAATGCAACACCCAATCTTGATTTTGATCTACCCAAACATGACTGAGAAGTTCAAACTACAATATAGATCATTAAGAATTGCGTAGATACATAGTCCCTTAGTTTGGACTTCAAAAAAGATGACAAGCATTTTTTTATTGTTTAGTAGAAGACTAATTAAGGGAAAAGGTAGTTTGGAGTTTGGACCTTAAAGAAGACGACAAGTCTGTTCATGTAGCGAGAGTAAGAAATCAGCAATAGGACAAGCAGTTTGGACTTTGAAGGAACAGCTAAACCTAAATTCAAAAAAAATCAGAAATATGTGATCCTTAACATCATCACTCTACTGAGTCGACATGTCTATACATATAGTGAGATTAAGAAATGAGCTAAATTGTGCATAGTTTACAGCCCAAAACCCTTCTTTGCCAAATAGAAGACCTCGGAATTCAATTTTATTTTTTCACCAAAACCCTTTTGTCAGGTAATTCTTTCCTCTTCTTCTCTTTCCTTCCTGATGACTCCACACCAATATCAAAAATTAAACCAAAATAAGAAATTCAGTTTGGTTCAGTTCTGTCTTTTCTTCTACTTCACACAATTATAAGTTAATAAAAAAATGAAAAATCCAAACAGTTAGTTTCAAACTTCAAAGTTCAAACATCTGGCAATAACCAAGCCAAACAGAACAGATATACCCTTTTCCTAGTAAAAGAACCTTCCAAACCAATCTAAGATCACTAAAATCTAAGACGCAAGTTCCTTTTTTTTCATGGCACTGGCAAGATACCAATGAAGTGCAAGCTATGCCTTCATGAAGTTTGCTGACACATATTTGATTGCACGAAGTTTTATCTTTCAATGTGTTTGGTCTCCAAATTTATACCAGCAAAACAAAATTGATTGGTTTTACCAAAATAATTTAAGTAGAATTTTGAAGTGATTAACAAAGATAATTCAGCATCATGGAACCATATATGAGATACAAGGGTCAAAGTGATGCAAAAAACGATTTTGGTACTGAGATGTGATAGGATAGTGTATTTGCAGGACATAGGTACACCTCTTAGTTGTATCGGAAATTAGTTGCTCAAAGACGAACTCTTCTAATTCACAGTTTAAGAAACTTGAGATTTCTAGATGTATCATTATATTCAAAAGTCAGTTACCCAAAATATGTAATTTTATTTATTTATGATCATAACAGAATGCAATTATTAACATAAAAATTAATAAATGTTAAGAAAACAATAAAAATGAAAGACCGCTCAAAAATTGGCAGGCAGAGCCTACAAAACCAAATATTAAACAACAAATTTGAGATGTCACACTATACCTTCCATACTCATCAACATGCATGCCGTCCATTTCTCTGATTGGATCATCCACAGACCTCTCAGCTCGAGATGGACGTCTAGGAAAAAATCCAGCATTCACATCAACATTAGGAACTTCTATGTCATCAATGTATCGACGAAGAAGAGATTCCGGCATAATTTTCCTTTCAAGCCATAGCCTCAGAACCTGAGAATAAAAGTTTACTTCTTCTAACAATGCTACAATACAATCAAATCATGAGAAAGTAGCAAAATTACCTTGAGACACTGACGACGATTCTCACGAGCACCAGACCCAGGTGGCGCAGCAGCAGCCAATAAGCGTGGTAATGCTTCCTGTATAGTAGGAATGTATGACGACCCAGCAATCCCTGCAGGTTATCAAGATATCAGGAATAAAAAGAAGTTTGTGAAGATAACATTTAACATTTATAGTTGCAGCAATTCTAGAACATGAAATAGACCAGAAAGATAAGAGTATATGACACAGAAAAACACCCCCATAACTAAATTCATTGACACAATTTATTGTTCAGCACCAAAGAACTGAATCCACATTCTATTTTATTGCACCTAAAAACTCAAACAAGGGAATAGTGGAACAGTGCTTACTGTATTAATTGAATTCTACCATAAACTCAAAAAAAAAAAAAAAGGAGAGTAGAGTTCTACCAAATATGGACTTACTACCTTTCTGGGTATGTGAACACTGAGTAATAGAGTCAACGAGGAAAAAGAGGTCAACTCTACGATGAAAGCTGGGTTCAGTCTCCAACTTCTGAATAAGTAGCTCCACAATCTGCAGACAGTCATATCTATAACCCATTATAATCTGTCACTGGCTGCAATAAACTATTCTATCAAACAAACAAATGATCAAAAATACATGGTAAATACAGATCAGGGCATATAAAAACTGCTAAAACATGAAAAATGCACAAGCCATATACCATACGGCATGATTATGCAAGTATTCTCACCTCACCAACAATGCCATATTTGGCACACTCAATTGCTAGCCGAGTTGCACGTCCAATACTGTCCTTTGTCCTTGAAAGTGTTTCTATCATGCCCTCAAAAGCATCACGTGCAACAGCTGCTTCAGTACCACCACTTAGTGAAACCCCCAGTGGCCTTTGATCAGGACTAGTCCTGTGCTCACATTCTTTGATTTCCACTTTGTTTGTTGAAGGAAGTTCCCAAGGAGCTGCAGATGGAGAATCAAATGGCATTGAAGCATAAGTTTCTTTAATATCCCTTTGAGCAGAATTTGTTGATGAAAAGGGAATTGGTGTAGCAGGACTTGGGCTCCTTCCAAAGAGTGCATTTGGAGACGATATTACAGGAATAGCATTTACAGGAGGCAGGCATCGTGATTGTGCGTCTCTCCTTTTTGCTTGAGCAGCTGCGATAAGGTGCTTCATTGACTTAGTGGTATCAGTAAACACAGATTTGCTATAGCTCGCTACTTTCTCTTCTTTAGAAGCTTCTGATCTGTAAAATAATGAAACAACCAGCAAATAATCAAAGCAAAACTCACACAAAAACAAAACATCTTTTCTCTCCAAAACCACAAAATTAACATGGCACATCTATCTAAAAAATTAATTTATACCTTTTATGTCCTAAAACATCCTTTTGAGAATTCTGCCCCCCAGGGTGTTTGTTATTGAGCTTATTTCCAGTAAGCGCAGTAGTGTGCATATTGCATTTCGAGGTCGCCTTTACGCTAACCGATTTACTTGATGCCTTCTTTTTTTCTGGTGTAGCTTGACTTCGGGATGAGCTCAACCTCTCAGTTTGGTGGTTTGAAAGTTTGGATGGATGATTTTGAGATTTCTTTCCTGAATAAGAACCCAAGGGTTTTATATCAGGCTTTATAAATGTTTGATCTATTGACTTCATTGCATCATCGACAGCAACAGGAGTCTTGGGTGATACAATGGGTGGTCTAGAATCACCAAATGATGATTTCTGATATTCTTGCTTCTTAGGACTTTGAGAAGCTTGCAGGCTTTCTGATTTTTCTACCCTCCTCTCCTTGTACTTTTCAGCCATCTTGACAAGCAATGTCACATCATCTGAAGGCTTCTCATCCCTGATAAGATCAGGGTTTTCAGCCACAGCATAACCAGATGGAGAATCTTTGTTACCCTCCATCACAGAATGAAACTTCTTTTCAGAAACAGAGATGCCTGAATGTGCTAAAACCAAGTTGCTAGTAGAATCTTTATGAAATGGGGTCTTCTGCCCTTCCTCCACTTTAACATCATTAAGCCTACGTGATCTACGTCTATAGCGGATGTGTGTACTCAAGGACCTATCAATCGTTCCATCTTTCACAAACCAAGAACCAGTTTGAATTGTACTTGCAGTGGCTTTAGTGGCAGTAGTAGCCACTGCATCCATGCCCTCAGAACCTTTGGTCGTCGAAAGGACAACCTCGTTACAAGTTATAGGCATCCCACCATGATGCATTTTCATTTCTGATGTTAACTGATTTTCAGTTTTCATGGAGATTCCAGATTTTTCTGTCTTTACAACTTTACCACCTTTACTTCTAGAATCAATATTAGATAAGTCATTATGTCTTGAGTTCTTCCACTTGTCACTATTCTCCTCTACCATTTTTGATCTTTTAACTGGACATGAATCTTTGCTTCCATCCAAAGTACGCTTTTTATTTCTAACCTGGAAAATCTTCACTGTTGATTCACCAGAAGACATTGACCCTTTATAGCCATGTTCTTCAGAAACATCTGTGGCTTCCTTGCGCGGGTCACTATGCTTTTTTTCCTTTTCAAAGGAATGTTCTTCAGATATTTTCAGACTCTTTGATATTTTTGAATTTCTCAAGTCAGTGTCTCTTGAAGTCACCCTTCTGCTATCCTCTCCAGTCACCTTTGTTGTTTGATGATCACTTTCTAGAACCTTCAGCACATTACCTGCATTTTTCTCCTGAGATTCATTTTCATCTTTAGAATCACTGGAATCCTCAAGTCCATCATGAGAATAGATTTTTGGAAGTGGCTCTATAGTATCAGTTTTGGGTAACGTCTCTGGTTCATTTCTCTTACTAACATCAGAATTAGCACACATTAATTTTTCCTCCGTACCAGAACAAGTATGAGAAGCTGACTCGGAAACTGCAAGTTTTTCTTTCTTTGGAACTTGAACACCTTCGCTTGAAGTTTTGTTCCTTTTCAAGAGGGATCCAGGTCCACCTAAAGTCAGATCAGAAGAAACATCTTCCTCCTGGCTCCTTGAACCCAGCTCCATCCCATGTAGCTCATTATTCGAGCAGTCATTCTCACCTCTTCCATTATAATGTGATGGCTCATGATGTTCCCTTAGATGCTTGCTATCTTCGAAACCACTAACCGAGGGAGATGCAAGGGCAGAACTATTCCTGACAATATCCTGCCCTGATTCTCCTGAATGTTTCTTGTTCAATTCTTCAAAAGCCTCACATATCTCCTCCACAGCACTAGTGAAATATTTCACTGTTTTACCCTGGCAACGAGTTATTAACTTACCCTTTGACTCATCAGTAAACACCTGAATATCAGCTGGTAAAACAAAGGCACTGCAAAAAGAAAGTCAAAGAAGGTGATGGCCATAGGTCCACAGAGTAAGCAATCATTTAATTCATGGATAGTACAGAACATAACCACATAAGATAAGTCTAGCATAGAAAGTATTGTATCCACGATTAGAAGATAAATCTCCATCACGTTTATTTTCCAAGCTTAAGTAAGATATTCAAAAATAAAATGGAGTGCTTGATTTGAAACAAAATACATGTTTCTCAAATGATTTATAATAAATCTCCATCATATGATTAGAAGATAAATCTCCATCATGTATATTTTTCAAGCTTAAGAAAGATATTCAAAAACAAAATGGAGTGCTTGATTTGAAACAAAATACATGTTTCTCAAATGATTTATAATAAATGCACAAGGCATTTGGCACATTGCACATAACCAAAACAGGAAAAGGAACAGCTACAGACTTGCTATTCACTAGCCACACCCCTTTCCCACTGCATAGAGGTAAGTCTGTTTTCCTTTTTTTTATTTGTTTTTCTTGCGGGCATCACATTAAGGGATATCCAGAATTTATATTTGGGATATAATTTTGGAATTTACCAAGAGTTGATTTTGGTTTAACTTATGAGAACTTAAAGTGAACTGATGACAGAGGACATCTAGCTTTTCAGGAAAATACTAAGCCTCAAGTTCGATTGGAACTATTACTTCACTCCAAAGTGAGAAGTAAATGGAACAAAAAACATATTCTTGACCAGTCATGATCAATCCTGAAGTGTATACTTGTCGATGAGTCAAGGGAGCATCACAAATACAAACAAACTTCTGTTCTGTCAGGTATACATCTTGAGAGAGATCAGATAGTCTTTTGATAAAGATTAGTTCAAAATAAATTGTGAAGATGCCTCTTTTATGTCAAACATGAAACAAAAACACAAATATTGATTTATAGATCAATTATATTAATGTAAATAGATGCAGCTGTAGGTTGTATCTACATAACTCCATTTTGCTTGAACTCGTATACACAGAATCACTACATACTGGTCCAAACATGAACCGATATGTGGACCACCACCTTTTCAGGCGGTCTGGTCCTGTCTAATTAAAAGGCTGATTAGGGCTCGTGATCACAAGCACTCTACTCCGTGGGCACTCATTGTCATTCATCGTCATAAACCTCCCCCCTTCTTGTCATCATCCGGCGCTGCCTATCTCTGCTCTTCTCGTTGCTGTCCACTGCCACCCACCTCCACTCTTCTGGCTATCATCCACTGACCTCACTGCCCTCTCTTCTTCCTCTTCTCTTCCTTCTCTTCTTTCTCCACCGTCTCCTCTTCTTTCTTCCTCTTCCTCCTTCCTTCTCTTCCCTGATTACTTGCTACTCTTCCATTCTCTTCCTCTTCCTCCACAGCCTCTTCATCCGAGTCTACTCAAGTTTCGCAATCATGTCAAGGACATGCTTCCATGTCCTCTCGTTCTTCCTCTTCCTCCTCCTTTCCTTCACCTCCTCTTCCTTCACCACCTCCTCTTCTTCCTTCCTACTTCCTTCTCCTTTCTCTTTCTTCTTCCTCCTCTTCCTCCACTGTCATCGGTTCCTTCTTCTTCTTCCTCTTTGAATCTTCAGTACATACTAGTATACCATGTGTCGATACACTGTTTTATCGATCAGGAAGTACCCATTCCAGTCCAGCTTGGTATAGGATCCCAGTACGAGATTGCAAAAGCAGTCCTTGGTTGTATCTATCTCTAGAATTAATAGTTAAACCAAGAATTGTAACATATAGACTAAGTTCAAAGGTGGCTTGAGTTTTGTTCTTCCATTTACAACAATTTAGTTGAATCTTGAACATAAAATCTTTACATAACTGTATTCTGGCTTTCTTATGTAGATATATTCATCAATTTAGTTTCAAGAAACTAATTTCTTGGTCAATGAGGCCTATGCAAATCTAGCATAGATCTACTTGTATTTAAGTTGATTCCACTCAAATATAGCCTAGATGCATTCAAATCTGAACAAGATTCATGCACACATGACCTATTTGGATCCAACCAAGACATTCAAATCTGAACAAGATTCAAGCGAGTCCAGCCTAGATCCATTTGGATTCAGCCAAATGACTGAATATGACCAAGATTCACATAGATCTAGGTTAGAACCACATAAATCTAGTTTAACCTAGATCCACATACTTACAAGTACTTCATGAACTTATTATTTCAAGGACATATTTGTAATACATGTATCAGATGCCCACTATAGCACTTTTAAGAGGTATTTATGCAGACCCTATTGACATATGCTTTACAATCAGCCTTGGAGACAAAAGAAAAATAGAATTTTTTAATAAAATTAGATATCATGGTGGGTCCAACGGTCCAACCAGTATAGATCAGTACATGATCATACTGACAAGGATCGATTTGTGTACCATACTGGTTCAGCTGACAACTGATATCAGTATCCACCAAGATTTGAACTTTAAAACTTAAAACGGAAGTGGTGCAATTTTTTTAAGAATAAAAAAGCACAACATCCTTCAACTTCAAGCTGCATATATTTAATAAAAAATTTAAAAACCAACATAAGCAAGCACTACCTAACTAACAAATTTTAAAACAACACCAAATTTGGCTATCCAAATTTCAAAGCTACCTGAGGATATGAAGTAATGAAAAAAGTACCAAAATTCAAGGAACACCCACTAAGTGCCCCTTTACATGATCTCTAACTATGACTTTAAAATTTCACAAAAAATACACTAATTAAATTACTCATCTTGACTACCTCAAGGCAATAACACGAAGTTTCATGGTTTAACATGAAGATCCTGTTTTATAGTTCAAAATGGTTTAGTGATCCTCCTTGAGTTTCTGATAATTTCTGCATCTTTTCCGATATAAGAATAGTGTTACAAGTCAGCCAGCATGCTGCTCTAAGTGGGTCGGCTAAGCTTTAAGCATCCTTCAGCAAATGTGCTCACTTATCAATGAAGAATCAAAAAGAAAAATAAAGATAGCTTACTAATTCAGTTTTTTGCATTAACCATAAAAGCGACTTTGTGGTCACTTTGTCCCCATAAAGTAGACAATGGTCTCAAATCATGAGTTTAGTCATCAAAGATCATCAGGCAGAATATAGCAAATTAATATCAAGAACAGGTGACAGCAAAACGACAATAACTAATGAGACTTACATCTCAGAAGTCCCAAAGAACTGAACAAAGTATTTCCTAGGATCTGGTGATCGATCAAATTCTTCTGGCCTGCTTATCTGACGAGAAGGTAGCCAACGTTTTAATCGAGGTTAAACATATTAAGAAAAGGCACGAAATGCAGAGGATTTCAGCACAACAAAAGGGGTGGATGGAGGACAAGAAAAGCACAGTTACAATTGCTAAATCATCTTGAAGAACCAAATGAAAGATTAACAAATATTGAGATAAACGATGAATCGCTAAAGGGAAAGCATGGAAGATGTCTCCACCACACAAATCAACGGAAGGGAAAGGATAAATCGCACTTAACAAGAAATAAAACACAACGTTCGTAGAAAAACCCCAATAAGAACAGCACCACTGAACCAAGAAACACACAACAGAATAACCAATATCCAAAACCCTGGGTTCCCGGTTCCGAACAATCCAAGTAAATGCAACACAGATATCGGCAGACGCCGAATCACAGAAGCATCAAAAGCCCAATTTACATACAATACCAGAGGAAAGAACAACACAGAAATCGAGCTGACCTTCGCGGGCCAAGCAGGATACCCCTTCACCTTGGCGAGAACGAGATCCCCCGGCTTGAGCTGTTCCAAGTTCTTAACCCGATTCCCACCTCTCCTCCGCCCGGGAGGCATGGTGTCGAGCCCACAAACCCTAACGCTCTTCCCTCTTCCAGGAACACCACCGCCTGCGGACAAAAGCGACTGCGGGAAGGCAAAGGAAACCCTAGGGCTCCGGTCGAAGGGCGGTTCTCCCGCTCTATCCCGCGGCGGCACGGAGGGCTACGGCGGAAGGATCGGGCGGCGGCGGAGGACGGGCGGGGGAGTCGGGCGGCGGAGCGCGAGCATTTCGAACGGCGCAGACGAGTGGGCGAAGGGGATTAGGAGTGGCGAGTCACGATGAGATCAAAGCATCTAACAAAGGAAGGTACATGTGAAACGCGTTCCATATAGAACCACCGCTCACACGGATTGGATCGAGTTGGCTGAACCCAACCAGCTTATCAGGACCCAATCTGAGAACAACATCTATTTAAGAGTTGTGAATAGAGACGGAACCCTTTAATCGAGATTGGAACGGATTCAATCCAATTTAATTTAAATACTTAAATTATTAGCCGAATGTGGACGGAATAAAATTTGTTATTGATTTTTTTAATTGATTCAAATAAAGAAAATTTATTGTTTAATTTATTTTTAAGGAACTCAGACTTTACTAATTCTTGAAAATCTAAACAAAACTCGTGAATTAAAATATATATATTTGGTATTGAGATTTCCACTTCGGATAATGATGATGATGGTCTGAGAAAAAATAAATAATCCTATAACACGATTAAGGATGATAATGGTTTGGAATCTATTTAAGACATGGTACTGCGTATTAATAGATTTAAGATAAGGTGGGATGAGAAAACAAGTATCTAAACTAAATTTGGATGTGTTGGTAAGTGCTTTATGCATCGCATATATATTTTTAAATAAAATTAGAATATGAATAAATCTTCTAGAAAAATCTAAAGTACTTCTTATTTGCTTTATTCTTGTAAAATATTTTTTATTTTTTTAAAAAAATTATCCATGGTCTTCACTGGATTGCTAAATTGCGAGTTGTCTCTGCTATCGTTGTCCTCGTTACTTTCATCCTGTTGCGAGATTCGTTGCCTCTTAGTACCTTCTAATATCAACCCTCTGTGTGTACTCTTGAGAAGAAAATAGAAGAGTATAAGATGAGGATATTAAGACCGTATAAAGACGATAAAAACGTATAGACAATATGAAGTAAAAATAATCGGATAGAAGCAAAAGTTAAGGATAAATTGATCATTTATGAAATAAGAGATGCTCTATGAAAATATTGCAAAATGAGTGTTATGTGAAAAATAAAATAAAAAAAAGTTGATATTTTTTCGAAAAAATTATCTTTAAAATATTTGTGTCTATTTTTAGATTCAGATGACATAAGTTTTCAGGAATAATCCCTAACCTTTTGGGTTCAGCAGAAAACCCAATAAGAACAATCAGGCCCGGTTCGGTCCATCGAGGAGGGAGTTGGTCGAGTTATGCTGCTTTAGGCATTTCATCGAACACTTAGACGGCACGCGTTGGTCACCGTGGAACGGAAACGATGGTGTGGAACTTCCCACCGACGCCGAAGCAGCTGGCGGCCACGGCGGGCGTGTTTGGGATGGGCGTCGTGCTGATCGCCGTCGGATCAAACCTCTCCTACGCCAACATTGCTCCCCAGCAAGCCCGCGCCGAGGCGCGCCGCCAGTTCTTTAAAGAGTACCTCCGCAAAAAGTTCGACCACTAGCCGACCTCCTCCTGCAGCACCCGCACCCTCCTTTGGGTATCCTTATTTCCGAAGTAGTATTTTGAGTCAATTACAACAACAATAATAAAGCTGTAAGTTTCATCTATTTGGAGTTGTAACAAATCAAATATTTAGTTAAGTTCAGAGTATTTTGAGTCAATTGTATTGCTTTATTTAGGAGTCTTGAAACCAGAGGTTTGGATGTTATGCAGGTTGCTATCCCTATTTGATGCCAATTCATGACTGAATGTACAAAATTCGGCGCACGATCATAGGTTTCAGACCGATAATTCCATAAAGTGATGGCTTTTAGGGGTAATTTGTTGATGGATTGGTCGCAGGACGGTTATGTACCGTCCAAGGAGACGATGACATTGGTTCTTCCTCTTGGAATGACTTGAGCTTCTCTCTGTTCTCCAATTTAACTGCATGCTAGCATTTGGTGGGCTTATTATCTCTTCGCAGTTAATATAAGTTCCAAGAAGGTGTCGATTTGAAGAGTCCTGAGCTTGATTAGCGGACTGCTTAAGATGAAATAGTGCTTCAGAACCTTTTCCATATACATAACTTTTTCGTGGTCATGATCACACTGCCATATTTTGAGGGTTCAGAGCAAGCAACAAGTCGTCCGCAAAATATTTAACAAATCCTTCCCATGTAGCTACACTATAATATATTATGCAAACCAATCATGTGTTCAATCTCATTTATTTTTTGTCTTTTTAGTCCTCCTTCAATCAAGGATGTGAATCCTATGTTCTATTGCTGATAGCTCAAGTGCCTTGTTTAAATGTTGGTAATATGGAGTTGGTTCATAATTGCTTATCATTGATTGTTGATGATTCTGAACCTGCAACTTGTTTGAACCTAATCATCTCTCTGTTATCAAGATGATAGAGCATGGATCTTATCTATACCATGTCAAAGCAAAAAATGATAAGTAGAAGAAAAATTTGTGAGGGTGTGCATATTTGATGGCTGTTGGTTTAATTTTATTACTTTGCTTGAATTATATAACTATGTGATTATAGACATCAATTGCTCGTACTCCTGGGATAATTAGAAAGTCCTTAAATAGATTAAACAATCTATTCTTACATCCTAAACTCTTTATAGTCCAAATATTGAGGGTTGGACTCATTTACTCACCTCCATGACCTATTTCACTATCCTTGTGTTGGATCTGTATTCATGAGTAAGACATGTATTAAAATTAGAAGATTATCCCTTTTTGTCTCCTAAGGCGTCTTATGAAGCTGTAAGAGCAACATTAAGTTTATCTTTCTCATTCGTGTTTACCTGTTGTCGCAAATGTGCAACTGAGTCCATTTCAATGAAACACTGCCTATTAGACTGAAATATAGACTAATCTTTAAGTACAGGTACTAGGTACAAACTTCTATTATGAATGTAAGGATTGTGTTTCCTTCATTACCTGCAATGTCAGATATTTCAATGCTTGCTTGTTTCTTTATTTGGGTTCCAGTATCTAAAAACTATGAAATTTCAAATATCGCAAGCATATATTTTAAGAGTTCTGTACATTTTCTATCAATTCTGTATCATGAGCCAACCAACTGCTTTGCAGAAATTGATTTACCAGTGTTCTTGATTCAATTAATGCACACCAGTATTTGGATAATCTTGTGTCAGATTATCCTTGGATAAAAAATTGGTGTAATCTGACTGGATTGTGAATTACTTCAGGTATGCAATGCAAAAAATTAAAGGTTGTCAAGGTTTCTCATGTTGCAGATCCCCTGTTGATTGAAGAGTACAACGTTCATGGTCTGTCAGCTATAATACTCTCCAATGATGGTAGGAAAATCCAGCAAATCAAGTGGAAAGTTCTATGACAAATATTAAGCTAAAGAGAATATTTTGAAGTTCACTAGATTCTACTACTGTGATCTAATCTTATTAAAGTTTGATGAATTCCTTCAAATGTTGATTAAACATTTTTTTATTCTAAATCCTCAACAAGAGAAAGTGGATGGATCTTGAGGAATGATTTCTTCCAGTGAACCGGATGTTCCCTTCTACCGAAGCTATTTATGTCTTTTCCTACATTGTAGTTAACTATATTTTTTTCAAGACAATATGTGAAATATCTGTATATTACATGAGATTCTGTATGATCATTGTTCATCTGGATTTTGTTATCATGAGTTAGCAAGTGTTGTATCAAGCTGAACATATCTGGATTCTCAACAATGTAATTATATGTAGATGAAACAGGTAATGCTGTCAACTTTGTTATGGTGAACTAGAAGGAAATTATCAATCTCTTTGTCACGCATGATCACACATGATCTGATGTTTATTCAACAACAATCAAAGGTTATCTGATCTGAGAAACTGGAATGGGGATCCAAAAATGTTGTTTCTGGTGAATTGTGAACCACCTGTTTATTATTTGTGCAATGGATACCAGGTTATGGAGTTGGAGGAGACAGACAGACCATTCATCAGTTGCAGCCAATTCCAACTTAGAGATCAGTTTGGACTGAGAATGATGAGAACTAGAAAGAAGTGAAAGACATGGAGATGTTGTGTTGCTGCAGTGATGTGTACTGTTTGGAGAGAGCAAATTACTAGTATTTTACATTCAGAACTAAGCATCTCACTGTTTACAGGATTTAAAGTGGCAAAAGACTTCAAGGAGGCTTTTCTCTGTGAATATATTCTGGATGTGGTTGATCAAACCTGATCAGGGAAAAGTTATATATATATATATATATATATATATATATATATATATATATATATATATGTATGTATATATGTATATGTATGTATATGTATATGTATGTATATATG